ACTGCCCCAGGTTCATATGGTAGGCACACCTGCTAGCTACTACAGATGTGACATAATGCCAGAAGCTCATATGCTGTGGCCAGTGGGTCTCGAAAGGCCCACCGTGACGTTCAAGACGAACCCAAACCCTGAGGAGCTCGGCAAGCGACGTACGGGGCGAGCGCGCTGCCCTTGACATACGAGGCGCACTCGTGCAAGATGACGGCCCAAACTGTCCTGCATTCAGCTTTCCTGCAAGACCCTGGACCTCGCGAAACCTCGAGACAAGCCAATCTAGGGCCCTATGCGGGCCGCGATTCGCATGGGAGCGAGTCCGAAGGAGGAAAGACAGGGAAACTGTAACAACATGTATCCCCGAACCTCCCATCGGGCCCCTGGGTGGGGCGATGGTTTTCTTGAGGACTTCATCCAAAGTTTTATCCATCCACTCCTGGTACACCTGGTTCAAGAGGGCTTCCCGTGAGATCCTCTGGTCACAGCTGCCTGATACAGAATACAACTTCCCATCTGCACCTCTCAACTGGGCGATGAACGGGTCCAGGAGGGCTCCCAACTCCTCATACTCATGCTCCAAATCGGGATGCTGGATGGGGCCGATGCCCAGGTCAGGAGGTACAGGGAGCGATTTCAGCGGCACTGAGGTCATGATGTCCTAGATACAGCCAGCCAGGGAAAAAGAAACAGGTCTGTGTTGTCCATTAGGGGCCAGCGAGTCCAGGGACAGGTCGGAGACTGCATAGGAAACCAGAGTAGACAGCATAAGACAGTCAATGCTACTTTGGTCCTTACCCGAGACATACGTTGGGCCTGGCACACATCGGAGTATAGCGTCTAAGCGGCCTATCGGGGCTGCAGTGTCAAGCTCGCTGGGGTCCACGTTGACATACCCACCGGCTATAAACAGGTACCCGTGGTCGAAGAGATCGCCGGCCACGGCATCCAGGATCTGGAGGTTTTGGAACCCGAGCCCAGTCCCATCCTTGAAGTAGCACGAGTACAGCACTAGCACACCATACGATCGGGTCCAGAAGAAACATCGAACGACACGACCAGGCACAAGCTCAGCAGACTGTCCGGGCGGCAAGAAGAGGTCAAGATGGCCCCTGCCTACAATGAGGACTCCAACCGACGTGCCACCAGGCGTGGCCTCAGCCATTCTACCAAAAAAACTGTCCAACCCTTCTGTATCAGGTTGGTGCGAACTTCTCGAAACCGACGGGGGAGCAGTCGATGCTCCAGCATGCACACTATAATACTTGTAGTGGTAGATAGATAGCACTCTGCATTCTTCCAACAGGTGCTGTTAAGGGTGGTGACCAATACCTTGGGGCTGGACCCAACCCTGGCGCCTCCGCGCTGGTTACCCACCTTCTGTCCTGGGGGGTACTGCTGCAGGGGCGGCGGCCGCGGCTGCTGCAGCTGGCGATGCTGGCGCTGATCCTGGTCCTGCACGTCCCTTGTCTTGGGCCCGCCGGCCCAAGTCCTTGGGGACCAGCTTAGCCCTCGTCTTAAGAAAATTGTTCTGCACCAGGGTAGCCAGCTGCCTCCGGACTGCTGGCTCCAGCTTGCTGATCTCCCCGCAGTCCTCGAAAACATTCTCGGCATCCATGTCGGCAGTGAGGGGGTCTTCCGCAAGAGCGAAGGGACTAGCCGCAGGAACGCCAATAGGACCCTGGGGTCTGGCAAAGCTGGGGGCAGCGTTGAAGGGGTTGCCCGTGAGGTCGATTGCTGCTCCTCCAGCCCCTGCGCCTCCGAGCCCCCCTGCACCTGCACCTCCAGCATCAGCCTCACCTCCTGCTGCTGCTGGTGGTGCTGCAGGTGCTGCTGCTGGTGCTGCTGCTGGGTGGGGCTGGCGGCTGCAATAAGCTGTTGAAGCGGGTCTCAATGGCCTGCTTTGCCTGGGGACCCGCGTACTCCGACACAGCAGTCTTGAGGGCATCGAGCTGCTGCTGGATGAAAACGCTCTCTCCTCCAGGCGCTCCTCCACCTCCTCATCGTCCCATGCCCACCTGGCTTGCCTGGTACTTGGCCAGGGCCTGGGCATGGGCCCTCTGGGCGGCGGCGTTGGCGACCTCCTCCTCCTCCTGGAGATGCCGGTTGAGGTCCTGGCAGCGCGAGAGCAGCTCCTCGATCTCCCGCTCCACCTGGATGATCGAATCCTGCACCTGTCCTGGTCCTCTCGAGCTCCTTCTCGGCCATCCTGAGGGATGTGGAGGGGTCCCTGGTGTTGTCACGATGCTGCTTCTGTTGTTGCCAGGCCTGTTGAAGCAGAACCACGGCGTCCGGGGCCAAGTCCTCCACCTTGCCACTTCCTTGGGAAACTCCCTGGAAGAGTCGACGCAAAAGATCACGACCCGTCTCGGACCCCTTGCTACGTCCTCCTCCTCCACCTCCACGGTCCCGCTTTCCACCGCCCTCCCTCCTCCCAGAATTGCCTTCGTGTTCGGGGAGGGGCTTCTTACAGTGGTAGCACCAGGTGTAGTGAGGTAGATTCTTGCGACACTTACAGTCAGGACAGGCTATATTAGCTTGCCCAGGGGCTTTCGCGCCAAAATTGGCGCGCACACTGGACACTTCCAATCTCTATGGCGCGCGCGGAGGATTAGGGTGTGCCGTGTCGATCGGGGATCAAAGAGGCCCATGCCCTGAGTCCAGCCTCCGCTTCGAGCAGAGGTTGAGTGGGACCCCCACGGGGAGGACACCCGTGGAGGCTTGAGCCAAAATGGCTACGGACTCCTCCTCCTCCTCCTCCTCCTCCTCCTCCTCCTCCTCCTCCCCCTCCTTATCCTCATCTTGGTCATCCTCCTCCCCCCCCATCCGAGTGAGTTCCTTCGACGTAACTCCTCCTCGTCGCGCCATCAGGCATGTCGGTAGGGCGATCTGAGCGTTTCGCCTGAGACCTCTTCACCGCTCATGCTGCCCAACCGTACATGTCAAAACAACGACACACCCTCGACCCTTTTTTGTCCCACCCTCCGGGGGTGCACCCTTTTTTTTCTCCCTCGCACCGCACGTTTCCCTCGCACCCTTTTTATGCTTCCCTCCGGGGGGGGGGGGGGGGCGCAACCCTCTATTTGGTCCGCTCGGGGGGGACGAAGCTGCAGAGGGACGCTGGAGAGGCGCCAGGGCGCCCCCGCCGTGTAAGAAAGAACGTGCAGAGGTTGCTCAGGAGCAGAGGCCCGAGGGCACGCCTCATGAACTGGGCGAGGGCCTCCCCCCTCCAGAAAAAGAAACTGGAGCAGACGCGACAACAGAGCAGACGCGACGGCCATCAGTGACTCGGAAACGATATGTGCAAACGTTACCACCACCAAAACCACCACCACCAACGTCATCCTCATCCTCATCCTCATCATCACCATACCATCACCATCACCATCACCATCACCATCACCATCATCATCATCATCATCAGCAGCAGCAGCACCAGCAGCAGCGGCAGCAGCGTCAGCAGCATCAACATCTGCATCAGCATCTGCATTAGCATCATCATCAGCAGCAGCAGCAGCAGTAGCAACATCATCCTCATCATCATCATCCTCATCATCATCCTCATCAGCATCCTTATCATCATCATCACCATCATCATCATCATCATCATCATCATCATCATCCTCATCATCATCATTATCATAATCATCATCATAATCACCATCATCATCATAATCATCATGATCAGCAGCAACAGCATATGTTCCTCCTCCTCAGTTTTATCCGCAGCAGCATCCGTAGAAGCATGATAAAGGTCGTCGTCACCACCACCATCATCATCAGCAGCAGCATCCTCATCATTATCATTTTCAGCAGCAACACCATCAGCATCATTATCATCACCATCGTCATCAGAATCAGCATCATCATCAAAGCCCTCGTCAACATCATCTTCCTCCTCCTCCTCATCATCATCATCAGCGCCACCATAGGCATTCCCATCAGCCTCATCACCATAATCAGTATAACCACCACCATCATCGCCATCATCATCAGCATCATCATCGGCAGCAGGAGCATCATCATCAGCAGCATCATCAGCATCATCATACACATCATCATCATCATCATCATCATCATCATCATCATCATCATCATCATCATCATCATCATCAGCATCGTCATAAAAATCGTCATCCTTCAATCATTATAAAAACGGCATCATCATACTCATCATAATACGAATACTAGTAAAATTAAGAATCGTCATCATCATCACATCAGCATCATCAGAAGCATCATCATCAGCATCAGTGTCACCATCATCGTCAACATCATCCCCAACATCATCCACGCACACGCACACACACACACACATCTCTGAATCCCCCTAGGGAGCCCCGAAAATGCCCCTAGAGACGGGGATGTCCTGCTCCTCCTCCTCCTCCTCTTCCTCACGATCCTCCTCCTACACCTACTCGTCCTCATCATCATCCTCATCATCATCCTCATCCTAATCCTCACCATCCACCTCCTCCTCTTCATCCTCATCCTCACCATCATCATCATCATCATCATCAGCAGCAGCAGCAGCAGCAGCATCACCCTCATCATCAGCAGCAGCATCATCACCACCAAGATCATCGTCATCGTCGCCGTCACCGTCATCGCCAGTGTCAGCACCACCATACCACCATAACCATCATTATCCTCTTACCTCCCTCTCTCTCTCCTTTCTCCTCCTCCTCCTCCTCTTCCCTCCTCCTCCTCCTCCTCCTCCTCCTCCTCCTCCTCCTCTGCCTCCTCCCGGGCTTGTCGCAACTAATGAGGAGGGAACTTCCGACGGATACATCTGAGGACTGCTCTGGTCCTCCTCCTACTCCTGCCCCTCCCCCTGCTCTTCCCGCTTCCCCATCCTCAGCCCTCCTCCCTCCTCCCTCCTCCCTCCTCCTCCTCCTCCTCTTCTTCTTCTTCTTCTTCCTCCTCCTCCTCCTCCTCCTCCTCCTCCTCCTCCTCCTCCTCCTCCTCCTCCTCCTGGTCGGGCTCGCCCTTCCTCAAAGCCCGCAATCCTGAGCTTTCCGCTTCTCGCCCAAGAACACCGAGAACCCCGTCTTCGGTGGCGCTGGCGGAGAGTGCCGGAGGAACTTGATAGTCATCACCTTCATGGCCTCGCGGGGGGGAGGGAGGAGGACCTGGGAGAACACAGACTTTACTTTCGGTGTCTTGACAAGATCACGACGGAGGTGCTTCGTCGTCTTCAGCCTCTGGGTACCGTCTGAAGTCTCCAGGGCTGCAACACCAAGAATATTGACAAAATGTAGCAGCACACACACACACACACACACACACACACACACACACGCGCGCATGCCTTCGCCACACACACACACACAAACAAACACAAAACACACACACACACACAAAACAAACAAAAAAAAGCCGAGAACACTGGGGCTTGCGCATTGAGAGAAGATCGCGACGTCAGAGGTCTGATGAGGAGAGGGAGGAGGACGAGGAGGAGGAGGAGGAGGAGGGGATCGAGGTGTGAGAATGTGCTGGGCCTCTTGGAACTTCGTCTGGAAGCCTCTCGAGGCTTCCAGAGGGAAAAAGGATGGAGGAAGGGAGGCAAGTCTGGATTCCAGCGGGAGCTCTCGTTTCGTCCTCCCCCTCCCTCCCACCATCCCCCCCCCCTACTCCCTACCTCCCTACACCTTCCTTCATCCCTCACCCCATCATCACCCCATCACCCCATCGTCACCGTCAGCGTCATCGTCAGTGTCAGCACCACCACACCTACATCACCATCATTATCCTCTTCCCTCCCTCTCTCTCTCCTTTCTCCTGCTTATCCTCCTCTTCCCTCCTCCTCCTCCTCCTACTCCTCCTCCTGCCGCTCCTCCTACTCCTCCTCCTCCTCCTCCTGCTCCTGCTCCTCCTTCTCCTCCTCCTCCTCCTCCTCCTCCTCCCTGCTCCTCCTTCTCCTCCTCATCCTCCTCCTCCTCCTCCTCCTTCTCTCTCTCTCTCTCTCTATCCCTCCCCTCCTGCCTCACGCCTTCCTCGTTCTCCGCCCCTCCTTCCCTGCAGACAACTCCGCACCGTCGACACGTATTCGGCGGCGTCGGGCTGGCCGAAAGCCTACCAACACGGCCTAATCGCGTCCCGAATGGCCCACGTGGCCGACGCCGGAAACCCCGAGTCCGAAAATGCTACCGCATCGACTCTAATTCCGCTGCCTTCCGCTGGCGGACACGCCACTGTTTTACTTCCGCTGGCCCCGTGGGCCTGCATGGTGAGAGCCTTACATGCATTCTGACATTACCACCAGCAGTCAAATCAAGATTCCACCGTCGGCGCCCATCCAGGAGGAGGGCGACCAGTGCAAACCCAAGACTCATCAAAGATGTTGGAACAAACCCTCCCTCCAAGCCCCCCCTTCATAGGCCCCATACATGGATTCATGTCCACTGAGGGAAGTGCCCCGTTGGGAGACAACTCTTTTAAGACCCTGAAGCGTGCCGAATCACCATTCTCGAGACTCCAACGTCGCGAATCAATATGACGGCTGCGTCTTCACGATTCTGAATCGTGCCAGAACACCACTCCTGGAACTTCAGCACCACGACTCAACGTGTTGCGCCCTGACAATCCTGAATCATTCCGAACACACGCTGTCTGGTACGTTGACCATGGGCATCCCTGAAACTCTGTTAAGAAAAATGTTCGCATCGCTGGGGCGAGAGCCTCATTCCCCACATGCCTAGTGTGGTTCTGGTTTGCTCCACTCCCGCGTCGCACCCGCGTCTCTTCTCATGCCCTCCTCATCCTTTTCGTCGCACACTGACGCCACACACACACACCGCACACAACGCACACACAGCACACATCAGACACACGCACACACACACACACACACACACGCACACACACACACACACACATTCTCACGCACTCACACACAAACACATACACACAAGTAAACACACACACACACACATCCGACACACTCCAGACAACATAACACATACACCACACCACACACACACACACACGCACCATACACATCGTACGTCAGACACGCATAACACAACACAACACCACAAACACAACAGGCGTGGAACATTCTCGACACCATAAAGGGGTGCGCACGGGGTGGTCCCCCTATCCGCGCCGGTCGCCCAGGGCGTAGCAGGCGTGGCACTTGCTCCACACCATAGGGGGTTGCGCATGGGGTGGTCGCGCCTGTCGTCGATGCCGTGGCAGGCGAAGTTTCTCGATACCGTAAGGGGTGCGCACGGGGTGGTCCCCTATCCGCGCCGGTCGTCCAGAGCATAGCAGGCGTGGCACTTTCTCGACACCATAATGGGTGCGCAGGGGGTGGTCTCCCTGTTCGCGTCGGTCGTCCAGGGCGTAGCAGGCGTAGCATTTTCTCGACACAGTAGGGGGGGCCAAGGGGGGTTCGCGCCGGACGTCCAGGCCGTAGCAAGCGTGGCACTTTCTCGACACCATAATGGGTGCGCAGGGGGTGGTCTCCCTGTTCGCGCCGGTCGCCTGGGGCGTAGCAGGCGTAGCATTTTCTCGACACAATAGGGGGGGGGCACAGGGGGGGTCTCTGACCGCGGCCGCCATGCGCACGGGTCGTCCAGGGCATAGCAGGCGTCGCAGCGTCTCGACGCCATGAGGAGTGTACAGAGGGGGTCCCTGCGCGCGGCCGCTATGCGCCCTGGTCGTCCAGGGCATAATAGCAGGCGCAACATTTTCTCGACACCACAGGGGGTACGCAGGTGTTGGTCCGTGAGCGCGGCCGCTATGCGCCCCGATCGTCCAGGGCGTAGCAGGCGTGGCACTACCTCAACACCACAAAGAATGCGCAGCGACTGATCCCTGAGCGTGGCCGCTGTGCGCCCCAGTCGTCCAGGGCATGCCAGGCGTGGCAGATTCTTGACGCCATGAGGGGTGAGCAGGGCGCGGTCCCTGAGCTCGGCCGCCACGCGCCCCAGTCGTCCAGAGCATCGCAAGCGTGGCATTTTCAGGCCTTTGGCGCAGTAGCATCAGTAGGGTCACACTTGATCTTCGTGTCTGACCACACGTCACCTTCGTGTACTACAGAATGTATAGCGACAGTATCGGATCCCTGTTGGAGACTCAAAGAAATCGTCAGTTTCACACGACACCTTCGTGTCGGTTGCACCACACGCCACCTTCGTGTACTATTCACTCGTAAGCAAGCATATCAGGGCCTCATTAAGAAATACAGAAAGAGGACAGTTTCACGCGTCACCTTCGTGTCGCAGCATTTACAGCATGGTTCCAATAGAAGAGAGAACGCGTTTTACGGGCGCTTGCCTTGGGAACATTCGGCGGCGCGTTTCAAACAGGGGGGTCCCCCCCCCAACACTCGGCGCCGTCGATCACAACCAGAGGGAACTCCCCTCCCCCCCAATCCCCCCCCCTCCCGAACCCCCCCTCCCTCTCGGAGCTGGCGCTGGCGCTGGCGGCCGCCAGCAGCGCCCGCGGCGGGGACGCAGCGACGATTACCAGAGGCAGCCCGGGGGGGGGGGTCAAAACCCTCCCCCCTCCCAAGGGGGGGGGGTCAAAACACACACACACACACATACACACACACACACACACTCGGCGCCGTCGCTGGCGGCGGCCAGCAGCGCCAGCGCTGGCGCCGGCGACGGCGGGGACGCAGCGACGATGACCATCACTACCACCACCACCACAACCACCACCACCACTACCACCACCACCACCCCCGCCTCAACCCACCACCACCACCACCACCACCACCAACAGCACCACACAACCACCACCACCACGGCCACCACCACCACCACCACCACCACAACCACCACCGCAACTCACCATCACACCACCACCGCCGCCGCCACAAAAACCCACCACCACTACCACCCCTACCACAACCACCACCACAATATGTCACACCACCACCACCACCACAACCACCACCACTACCAGCAGCACAACCCACCGCCACCACCACAAACCACCACCACCACCGCCACCACAAACCACCACCACCACCACCACAACAAACGTTCACAAACCACCGCCACCACCACAACCCACCGCCACCACCACCACCACCACAAACCGCCACCACACAACCACAACCACCACCACCACCACAACTCACCATCACCACCACCACCACAACAACCCACCACCACTACCACCACAACCACCACAATCTACCACACCACCACCACCACCGCCACAACCACCACCACTACCAGCAGCACAACCCACCACCACCACCACAAACCACCACACCACCACCACCGCCACCACCACCATCACAAGGACCACTTCCACAAACCACCGCCACAACCACAACCCACCACCACCACCACCACAAACCACCGCCACACTACCAGCACACCACCACCCCCACCACCACAACCCACCACCGCCACCACCACCACCACCACCACAAACCACCACAAACCACCACCACACCATTTCCACAAACCACCACGACCACCACCACCCACCGCCACAACCACCACCACCACAACAAACCGCCACACGACCACCACCACAACCACCACCACCGCCACCACCACCACCACCACAATCCACCACCACCAACACCGTCGTCCCCGTCGACGCTCCCCGCCACCGCCGCCAGCCACCGCAGGCGCCGGCGCCGGCCAAGAAATGGAAATCGTCGTCCCCGCCGCCGTCGCCAGCCGCCGCCGACCCCCCAAGCGCAGCGCCGGCCCGAGGAGAAGGGAAGCAAAGGGGGGGGAGGTTCGAACCCCTCCCCCCCCTCCATCCAGGAGGGGAGGGGGGAAGGGTCCGGTTCCAAACCCCCCCCCCTCCCAAGCGACAGAAAGCGCTCTTTACAATAGAAATACACGGGGTTTTGGGGGTCTTTTCCCATTGTCCAATGAGACGGCCAAAACTCTGGCCGACGCCCTTACGGCACCCCCAGGATCCTTAGGAATTCAAGAAGAGATGGCCGAGTCCCAGCCTCCAGCTGGATTCATTAATATGTTATTAGCCTTTGAATGGGAATTCAAATGGAAACTGTCGAGCCCCAGCCTCCAGCAGAATTCCTTAATAATTCGATCGGCTTTTGAATAGGAATTCAATCAGAAATAGTCGAGCCCCAGCCTCCAGCATAATTCCTTGATAATTC